TTCACTTTTTAGGTTTTAAAAGACCCTTTTACAAAAAAACGAAGCAGTCTCACGGTATAATAGAGCTGGTATATGTCAACATAATATTTTGATTATTTATTAATTTTTTAAATTGAATAAAATATCAAATAATTAATGAACTAAACCTAAATATTAGTGTGCTTCCTCTTGTGGGTCAGTGTTGGATTACTTCTTCTAAAACAGATGCGGAGATGCGGGGATTACAATTGGGAGGATGCAATCTTTATAAAAAAAAAAAACTACGCCCTTCTTATTTGGAAAATAAGAAGCAAACATCTTTAATTTCCCTTATATAAAAATGAATAAGGTTTTGATGCTTAAAGGTCATGATTTTGGTGTTTTGTTGTACCGACTTTGGAGTTGCTATAACACATACATGCTTTTGGTAATTTTCAATAATAATAATCCATTCTAAAAAGAAAAATACATTTAAAAAAATTACACCCTTCTTATTTTGATAAATCTTCTAAAACGGTATAGTTATCCCTAAATTTGGCACCAAATAATAACTTCTTAAAAATTAGTTTATTCCTAAAATAGCAAACAATTTAAATTTCCTTTATAAAAAAAACTCCTTCATTTTATAGTTACATGTTTTAAATCTCTGCATGATTATATTCGATTGGTCAACTGCCTAATTTTAAACTAAATTGTTCTAAACCATTAGTGGGACAAAACAAAACAATATTTATTTAGTAGTGTTTGACATGGATATCTGACCAAGTCAAATGAGAATTTGTTAACTTTTAGTCTCAGTTAAAAGGTTGGAACCCGATGAAACATAGCTTCTCCCATCTTCATATTAACAAAATGTCTACTTCAAGTGGAAATGGGTGTTAGGATCGAGACACTTAACACACGACTCTAAACACACACACAGCTCACGAAAAACAAGAACACAAGGATGAACATGAGGGATTTAACGTGGTTCGGTCCTTCTCTGACCTACGTCCACCGGTAACTAGGAATTTATATTTCTTGGTGCTAATCTGCACTCTTTCTATGTTACTCTAGATACAAGTTTTACAAATACAGATGAATCTCTTATATAGAGATGGAAACACACATGGTTCCTGGTTTCCTGCCATTTTTGACCAGTTGTGGCTTCACACATGGTTCCTGGTTTCCTGCCATTTTTGACCAACTTTTCTGTGGATTCACACTCAACAACCTCCGTGGATTCACACTCAACAATCTCCCACTTGAAGCCACAGAACAATCTTCACATGTGCTTCAACTGTGCATCTGTATTTTAAAAAAAAAATTGATCTTAACTCCTTCCTAGTTACTCTGCCTTCTCTTCAATTTACCTGTTCTCTGTCTCCACCGGCTCCCACTGAAATGAACTGCCCGATCCTGGAACATCCTGAGAACAAACGACACTCTCCATGTGAAGCAGATAATCTGGAGAGACTTTTACAGATGGAATACTGGTTCTCTTAACCCACTGTGTTCTGGGTATTCTAGCTGAAACAAAGCCCATGCTCCCACTGCTATGAATGCCCTTGACTGGTTTTTCTGAACCGTTCCAAACACGTTCAACCTGAATCTGACCTGTGACTCTGGGTTTGCCATCTGCAAAGCAAACCTTCTTCTGTCCACGAGACTCTATGAACCGGATTTTGTTTTTCTTCTGAACTGGGACGGTTACTCCCTCAGATGGTAATCTGACCATATATAATGAACCCTTCTTATGTCCACGAGCTATCACAAGATTTCCTTTGACAACCTTCCACTGCCCATTCCTGAACTTAACCTCGTGTCCCTGTTCATCCAACTGCCCAACAGAAATCAACTGTTTCTTCAGACTTGGAATTACCCGGACATCCTTCAAAGTCCATGGACCAACTGGAGTCTTCAAAACTAAGTCACCTATGCTCGTCACATCAAGAACCTCATCGTTCGCCAGTCTTACCTTACCAAAATCTCCTTCTTTTAGATTCTGCAGTGCTTCACGGCTGTGGGTAGCGTGAAATGAAGCACCCGAATCCATAACCCAGGAATCCACATTGCTCTCCACACTACAGATCAAAACATCATCATCTGAATGGTCTACTGCAACGTTAACTTCTTTCTTGTCTTTTGGACATTGATTCATGAAATGTCCAACCTCTTTACAGTTCCAACAAGTCACATCATTTCGAGTCCTCGACTGACTCCTTCTCCTGTTCCCGCTCCCACTACCTCTGTTATTTCTTCTACCTCTGACCGCATTCAATTGTTCACTTGATGATTCCCCGGAATTTCTTCGTCTGACGTCTTCGCCTAGAATTAAATCCCGAATTCCCTCAAAAGTGAGCTCTTTCGATCCTGCGGAACTAGTAACGGCTGTAACTGTTCCGGACCAACTGTCAGGTAATGATGATAACAGTAGTAAAGCTTGAACTTCATCCTCAAATTTTATTCCCACTGACCCAAGTCTGGATAAAATCGAGTTCAAATTGTTGATGTGTACTGTAACTGAACTTCCTTCCCTCATCCTCTTGTTGACTAGTTCCCGAATCAGGAAGACTTTATTTGCTGCCGACGGCTTCTCGTACATATTAGACAATGCCTTCATGATTCCCTTTGCTGATGTCTCCTTCAAAATGTTGAAGGCAACATCCTTTGACAACGTCAGTCTAATAAATGCCTTGGCCTTCTTATCCAAAGTCTCCCAGTTTGCCTGTGTCATCGCCTCCGGTTTTTCACCTAAAACTGCGTCCAAGTCTTTCTGTACGAGAAAATCTTCAATTTGCATCTTCCACCAACCAAAATCTTTCCCATCAAACTTCTCAATCTGAAGCTTACTGCTTTCTGCCATTTTCTGAAACAACAATGACCTATCTTGCAATTTTCTGGAAATTCAGGGGCCAAATTGCAAATTTTTAAATCTGCTACAGTGTTGCTACAGTGTCTGCTGATGTCACCGCTGACGTCGTGCTACAGTGCCTGCTACAGTGTCGTCTTCTCGGCGGCTGCTACAGTGTCTGGTGCTACAGTGTCGTCTTCTCCGGCGAACTGGTTTTCCCGGTCACTATTCCGGCAAACCTTTGACCGGCGATTTGGACGTCTTCTGGTGGTCAAAAAATTCAGAAAAAAATATTTTCGGAATCTTCGGAACGAGACCTTTCCAACGGTATACACCAAAATCGTTTTTGACGAAAAAAAATTTCGACCAAAAAACAGAAAATCACCTTCTGGAGCTAAAACCTTGCTCTGATACCACTTGTTAGGATCGAGACACTTAACACACGACTCTAAACACACACACAGCTCACGAAAAACAAGAACACAAGGATGAACACGAGGGATTTAACGTGGTTCGGTCCTTCTCTGACCTACGTCCACCGGTAACTAGGAATTTATATTTCTTGGTGCTAATCTGCACTCTTTCTGTGTTACTCTAGATACAAGTTTTACAAATACAGATGAATCTCTTATATAGAGATGGAAACACATATGGTTCCTGGTTTCCTGCCATTTTTGACCAGTTGTGGCTTCACACATGGTTCCTGGTTTCCTGCCATTTTTGACCAACTTTTATGTGGATTCACACTCAACAACCTCCGTGGATTCACACTCAACAATGGGAATCCTGCACCCCTCTCACTCCAACAACCACTTCCCTAGGCCCTCTCTTGCTCTTGCTACGGGGCAACCTTCCACTCTGTTCTGATCTATGTCTCCCCAAAACTTGTCCTGATATTGATATTTACTGATCTCGTTCTCATCGATATCAGTCAGTATAGATAGCATCTAAGGACATTGCTAAATAACATTTTTAATCAATATTCTTTGCTTGAAACTTTTATTATATGTGGGGATTACTTTTTTCAGAACAGATGTGGAGATTACTTGGGGAGGATGCAATCTTTAAGTGGCTTTTGTGGGCACCACAAATCAGCTACATCTTTCTATTTAAGATAAGTAAGAAGATTGTAGGAAATATTGAAAAACAAAAACAAAAACAAAAAAAAAATGGATTTAGTATTTACACCAGCAGGCAATTACTGATGCTGTCTACTGTCAATGGAGAGATGGTGATGAACCAAAAAACAAGGATTTAATGCTTTCTCCAATTGTAGAACTTATTTTACAAACTTAAAACATATATTGGCACTACAGTTTCATCCCAAAAATTTGCTGCTGAAACAGTTCTTATATATATAATTTAGTGTATGACTATGTTATGTGAAGATTGTCCAGCCTGATGCAACATGCTGAAAGGGAGTCCATATGCCATAAAAATGCAGTTACTTACAAAGATACAAACAAATGATATTTTAAATAGATAACTAATTAATGACAGAATATCACATTGAATCATAATTTCTTCTAAGTAGATGAAAGCATGTATCTAATTTTTATTATATCCGAAATGAACTAGTTATTTTGGGTTGATCTAGTGTCTAATTTTGTCCATTTAAACAGTCAACAAAAGAACTACAACTGATTGAAATAGCCTATGTTTTTTTAACCATTTAATCCACATGTTTATACAAAGACTAATCTTATATGCACCTTATATTTCTGTAAAGTATAATACTAATAGTAACATTTATATGATATTGCATGTACTCTACAATAAATCTCGAGTCAACTACACAAGAAAATAAGTTGCTTACTCTCTAAAGAGCTCTTGTTATGATTTCCTTTGCCTACCAATGTATGAAGGGCTGAGAAGACATACCGGATGGAACCGAAGCATATGCAAAGATGGGTTTCACTTGTTCTTTGTAATAAATAAATAGCCTTCATGTTACGTGTATTGTATTTTGATAGAGAAGTTTACTGGTAAAATCATTTAGTAAATATCTTTGGAATATATAAGATTCTTTGCTTCAAACTTTAATTTATTATCTGAGGGAATTACTTGGAGAGGAATTAATCCTAAAGTGGCTTTTGTGGGCACCACAAATCAATTTATGTTTTTATATAAATATCCAAGAGATTGAAGCAGGAGAACATAAGTAAGGAGGAAAAAAAACCATACGAAG